TGAGTGCCGTGGCGTCAGCCTAGCTCACAGCAACCTCAAACTCCTGGGTCAAGCAATCCTACTGTCTTAGCCTCCTGAGTAGCTGGGACCACAGGCACACGCCACCATGCCCGGCTAATTTTTTCTACATATATTTTTAGCTGTCCAATTAATTTCTTTCCATTTTTTGGTAGAAACGGGGTCTCGCTCTTGCTCAGGCTGGTCTCGAACTCCTGAGCTCAGAACGATCCGCCTGCCTCGGCCTCCCAGAGTGCTAGGATTACAGGCGTGAGCCACCGCGCCCGGCCTGCTTGTGGGGTTTTAAGACTTTCAGCTCCTTGGTCATCTTTCCTACTGCTCTGGGAAACCAGGCCAAGATTGAGACTCTTAAAGAGCTATCCTGTGACTACACTGACTGTTCATTCTGGAATCCGCCATCTTGGGTTGGCATTGTTGGCTTCAGTTTGCTGTGACTTAAAAATGCCTCTTTGTTTTCTTTTTGCCTTGCTAAGTCACAGAGGACAGACCAGGTTGCTGTTTCCTCTTGAACTCCCCCTGCAGAACCCAGACTCATGTAGTGCTGGCCCCAGTTGGGCCTAAATGCTTTGTGCTTTTACCTGTTATTTGGGCTTATTAACTACCCGGAAGGCATCTCTCCTGCTCCCAGGGAAACTCTGGTCAGGTGAGAAACCTCTGTGACTTCTTTCCTGTAAGTGAGATCAGATGCCTGCTCATGCCTAGTGAGACTAGCCTTGTTACAGTGTTGTGGTCTCCAGTGTTACCACAAGCGCTCAGCACCAGCCAGGCATGCAGGCCAGCTGTCATCTCTGGCCACGATGGCACAGAGGTTTCCTGGCCAGTTGGAAAGTACAGCTGCTCCTTGAGCCTTTGGTTCCATTTCTGCATCTGAGGGCCCTGTCCTGAGCATGGCTGACACAAGGGCGAGCTGGGCCTTGGGGTGGCCACGTGCTATGTGTTCTTGTGTTCACTCGGCTTTCCCTCGGTTAGGGAGAGGATGCATTGGTCCGGTGAAGGTGGAGGCCGCCTGTGCCTACCATGGGCTTAAGGGGTGGGGAGCATGTGTTTCTGGGGCTCTGTGTCTTTGATGGGGAAGACAGATGGTACGGCAGAGCTAGGTCCTGGTCCACTACCTGGCAGGACCTCTTCAGGCAACAGTGCTGCTCTGGGCCGGTTTTCTCTTTGTTGCAAAGGGGAACACAGTGCCTTTCTCACCCTGCATGTGTGAAGAGTAAACACGATAACGTGCTGCATTGCTGTCCTTTCTGAGCAGCAGGGGTTGATTTCTGTGAAGGCACATGGAGCTGTCCTCTGCCTGGCTGGGGCCCCTTCATGTCCTGAGCTTCCCCAGGCAGTAGGCTGCTTCTGTGTAGGGCAGGTTCCTTCACGTGCTTTGTCATCTGTTGTGCTGGGGCCTCTTTGTGGGGGGCTGCTTTGGATGTGTGGCATCTTGGAACACCCAGTGCCACTGCCTCACCTTCCCTGTATGTTGCTACGTTTATCATGACAGCCCACGGAGCATAGACTCGTGGTCTCAAATGTAGTCTGTCATCAGAGTTCCCTGGAGAGGTGTACGTTTTGGGGCTGAAGCCTGATGTGCTGGTTGGTGTCTCCTGGCTGTGCTGGAGTATGTGGCCACCTCGATGCTGTAATGCCGTGAGGAGGATTTGGCTCGCTTTCCTTTCTTTTCTGTTTTGGAGGCCAGGTTGTAGGCGGTTATTAGAGATTTGTGAGCAAGGAGATGACTTGGCGAAGCCTACGTTTAATAAAATTGAATGTGGTGTTGGGAGACAGGCAGAAAGGATACAGAGAGCATCAAAAAGTTTGGGCCCACTGCTGTAGCATTTGTGCACACATAGCATGCCTGCTTTGCTTACTAGTTAAGGGACCTGCCGCCCTAAGCCATCACATCGGATGATCAGTTAGCCGTCTCTGATGCCAGATGCCTGAGAAGCGGACGGCTAATTGCCAGGAGTGTGCTTTGGTCTGTGCTGTGTGCACTTGAGTCTGGCCTTTGGGCCCAGGCCTTGCCATACTGTGGGGGCATGCCATGACCCCAGGCTCTGTGGGTTCTGAGGAGCTGCCACCATGAGGTGGCGCACCCCATGGTTATCCTGGCTCCCCATGGAGCCTGTCTTTGGGCCTGGGGGCCGTTGCAAGGTCTTGGTTGATAGGGGAGGAAGTCACAGTTCCTTCCGGCCTGTCCTTGGGCAGCCTCTCGGGAGCCTCAGCTATGAGATTCCGGTGTTCAGACCAGACGCACTCTGTGTGGACTCCCCTCTGAGCACAGGGGCTCTGTGGCCAGCCCCAGGCTGGGAACCGTGTGCCCTAACACCTGAGGAGAGTGGCCAGGCTCCACACAGTGTGACAGTTCCCTCTTACCAGTGTGGGATTTCTTACGTCTGAGAAGCCCAGAGATGTTATTAGGAGAGGTGGATAGGCGAGTTGGCTGGTGTCAGTGTAAACCGCAGGGTCACGTGGGCTGGGACAGCATGGGCTTCGTGACTTTGAGAGTCACGGGGAGGGAGGAGCAGAGTGCGTGGGAAAGAGCCTGCGAGCGCACATGTGGGGAAGGGCGGAGTCTTTGTGCTGGGAGTGTGCTGGGGCGTCCTTCTCCTCAGGGTTTTGAGAGGGAGACTGAGGGAGCTGGCAGCAGTGTGGCGTGTGTGGGTCTGTGAAGGTGGCAGCGTGATGCACTTTGTCTCAGTGGAGCATGGTGTGTCCAGGACATGACTTATAGACAGGAAGGTGGACACCCGGAGATGCCTCTGAGTTGTGTGTCCACCTGAGTAAGGCCTCCTGGGGCATGGGAGGAGGAGGAGTAACCTAGGGCCAGTAGGAAGGGTGGGGTGAGAGTGGTGTTCATCCCAGGAATAGAGGATGCTTCTTTTTCGAAAATCCACTATTTCAGTAGGATGAACGGGGAAAAAACATATGACCATCTCAGTAGGTGAGCAGAAGCAGCATTTGTTAAAATTCAGCGCTCATTTATGATTGAACACTCTTGGGAAACTAAGAATGGAAGGGAAATTCCTCACCAGATAAAGCATGTCTACAAAAAAACTTGCAGCTGATATCATACTGATGGTAAGACTGACCACTTCCCCGGCACTGAGGACCAGGCAGGTCTCTGTTCCCACCACTCCTGTTCACGCTGTCCTGGAGGTCCTTGCCAGTGCAGTCAGGTAAGCAGAAAGAGAAGGTAGGCAGACTGGAAAGTTGGAAACACTGTCTCTATTTGGGGAGAACATAATTATCTATAGAGATTTCCAAGGAATCAGAGAAGCTAGTAGGACTAAAGGTGATTTAGCAGGATCACAGCTTATAAGGACAACATACTAAAATATTTCTGTATACTAGCAACATACCAATGGAGGTACATACCTATTATAACATTAACAGTATCAACAAACATGAAATACTTATGGATAAGTTTAACAAAATACATTTATAAGCCGTGCACTGAAAACTGTAAGATGGAGCTGAGAGAAATTAAAGACCTAATAATGTGAACAAACGGATAGAGGTTATCAGAGGAAAGGAAAAAATGAACTCTTGTTTTCCCCTCTGCTCTCACACAGCTATGGATTCGACGTAACACTTCTGACACCAGATATGGGGGGGTTTCCCGTCACACCAAGCAGTTCTCCAGGGCACCCCAGCTGGGTGTCCTGTAACTCAGCTCAGACACTATCTGCCTGGAGCTGGCATCAGAATCCACAGGTTGAGGGCCCAGTCCCACAAGACTGGCTCCCACTTGAGATAAACAGTCGGTTGCCACCTGTCCTTCTGACTGGCAGGCTATGAAGTGGGGCTCCCACTACACACTCCTGGCGTCCATTCCTTTGCCAGAGCAGCTCACAGAAGTCAGGGAAACACTTTATTACATTTGTTTAATTATTACAAGGGATATTACAAAGGATACAGATGAAGAGCTGGATGGAAGAGATGCGCAGGGTGAGGTGTGTGGGAAGGGGTGCAGAGCTTCCATGGGCTTTTCAGGCCTGCCACCCATTCAGCTGTCTGGAAACTCTCCGAACCCTGTCCTTTTGGGTTTTTAGGAAGACCTCACTATTGTGGGCATGATTGATAATATCATTGGTCATTTGTATCAACTCAACCTTCGGCCCCTTTCCCCTCCCTGGAGGTTGGGGGTTGGGGCTAAAAGTCCCAGTCCTCTAAT